AAGGGGGGGAGTGAGTACTGTTGGAAGGAGAGATGAGAGATGAAGATGATATAGGGGAAAGAAATAGAGAGAGAGAGAGCCATACAATCCTCACCCCAGAAGATAACTGACTTACACACCACCATAATACAACTTGTGTACTAACAACAATACACTAGTCTATTAAAATACAACGAGAATAAAAAAATTTTTAAATACAAATGGTCTTTTGTTTTTGTTGGGGGGACGGGGTAGGGGTGAGAGGAGTAGGGGTAGGGGGGAGAGGGGTATGGAGGAGGGGGAGGGAGGTGTTTTATTTAAGCATTCCGGATCACTGGCATCACGTGAGGGTGTTTATATACGTGAAGGAATTGTGTGTGTGTGTGTGTGTGTGTGTGTGTGTGTGTGTGTGTGTGTGTGTGTGTGTGTGCGTGTGTGCGTGTGTGAGTACAGTCCATGCATGCTTTAGTGGACGGGTAAATATAGTGCTTTTGATGTTTATGTGCGTGTGTGAATGTATGAAAACGCTCACGTGTAGGAATGTGTGGATAAGGGTGGCGTTGAGTGTGTGTGTTCGTATAATGAGACATGATAATAATAGCACGTGTATTATAAAACAGTTGGCACCCTTGGCGTAACAGCTGCAGCAACAACAACAATAATAGCAGAGGGAGACACACGCCCAGGGGAACACCGGCACGTGGGCACACCCCAGTTACCACCTCGCTAATTCAACTAACAATATTTAACACGAGAAAACGAATTATCTCCTCTTCTTCACGGCAACCTCCATCACCACCATATAAAGACACAATGAATCATAACTTAAAAATATGAAAAAGTTACGATAATTAATGAAATATATAAGTAAATAAATTTTCGGCTGGGTGTATGGCAACAAGAGTTTCACAACACGTGTCTGAGAGCACGCGCATCCGGGGGGTGGAGTGGAGGCGAGGAGTGAATGGCTCCTGCTGGCCTCTGAGAGAAGCTGGGGGTGCCGACTATATCTTAAATCCCACTCCAGTCTAACTTCAAAAACGTCTATTTACTTCCTAAACTAATTAAAACTTCCTTATCTCTGGTTTACAGGGTTTAGGTGATGTCTTCTCGGTCGTCCATTAATAGTTACGGTTCTAGCCTTGAGAGACACGCACACCCTCCCTCCCCCTATTGGTGACGGCAACACCTGAAGAGGTTTATGAATCACTGAGAGAAGAGGAACATCTTATGAATGAAGGAAGAGAAGGAGGACGTCTCTCCCTCCTTGGACAATGATGCCTCCTCCCCATTCACCTCCTTCGACCTCTTCCTTCCCTCCCTACATTCCTGAGTCCGAATTCTAAAAACGTAAATAATAATACTAATAATAATAATAATAATAATAATAATAATAATAATAATAATAATAATAATAATAATAATAATAATAATAATAATAATAATAAAAACCTTACATACAGAAAGTAATGTCTTATTTTTTAGTTCTACCTCATGACACACACACACACACACACACACACACACACACACACACACACACACACACACACACACACACTGGTTCATTTTTTTTCAATTCGTCGAGAGAAGAAAATGAACCAGTCTCTGAAGATCCGGATCCAGGGTTCGAACTCTGAGGATTCGACCAGAAATTAAATACGAATCATTGGTACGCCCAACGTCCACCCCACAAACACAGATTCGATCCCCATTGACATCCTCTCCTTTCAGTGGGGCGTCGAAGCTGTGCACTGAAACATAATTTTCCAACCCTCTACCTGAGTCTCACCCCCATACAACTAATTACAGTAGAGTCTCGATGCAATTTTGACGCCATTTTGGTCCTTCATATAAGTCACACCCTAAGTGAGCCACTCGTATGCTCTTATATATATCCAGTTAAGGGAAGAATTTAACCTACGTGTGTGTGAGGAGGCTGGCGGGGACCTCCTACCAGGCATTGTGTTCCTTCCTCGGTACACGCTGCTGCTGCCCACTCACCCACTCGAACGATAATTTGCCCCAATGTAGATTCTTTACGGAGCTGTACACAATGAGGAGGTCCCCCCGAGGTCTGGCGTGACGCTTCTCGATGTTATCTCCGGGTATTGTGCGTGAGGGGAGGTGAGGGAGGGGGTGAGGGGGTGGGAGGGGTGATGGTGGGAGGTATTTTGTGCCAATTGTTGCCTTAAACCCAGATGGCATTCCTGGGGTATTGGACATGGTTTGTTGTTGCCACACACACACACACACTTCATTCTATGTTCCCTTGACTTACTTGCTCCATATCATAGTACAGTGAATACTTATCCACGGCCCTCCACCCACCACACTCCCATCCACCCACCACTCCTCTCCACCCCCCCACTCCTCTCCACCCACCACACCCCCATCCACCCACCACTCCTCTCCACCCACCACACTCCTCTCCACCCCACCCACCTCCCATCCACCCACCCTCCTCTCCACCCCCCCCCTCCTCTCCACCCACCACCCCATCCATCTACCACTACTCTCC